TTGTTTTTGTTCTGTTCTAGATGCTCAGTTATTCTTTGTTTCAGATCCTCTTGTTTTTTAGGTAGAGGGCTTTGTTCTTTCTGAGGAGAGGCTTTACTGTCTGAGCTACTGCTGGCAAGGCTTCGATTTCTTTGCCCTGGGTAGACTTTTGCGTTTCTTTCAGTTCTACTTCTGTGAATACTTTATTTTGTGTTATAAATCAACGTTGATCTGCTAGCCTCTGTTCTGTTGTTTCCGATTCTGGATATTGTTCTTTCCAGATCTGATGCGTTCTTTTCAGATATCCTCTTCTCATTGGACTTGATTTGTAATAGCAGATCATTATTTTTTTGTATTCAGTCTTCGTATATTTGCACACGTAAACAACTTTTCTTCCAGTAGTCCTGCGGCTGCTGGCCCTGGTTGCTCAGCCAATAGTCCTGAATCCTGTAGCCCACTTGCCACCAGATGTACAGGAACTAGAATACCTAGCGTGGTCCTTGTTGAGCTGGGCGACAACTGATTTGGTATGTTTCTGTAAGTTACATCTCACCATATTTTTTATGGGAGAGACACTCTTCATCTGGCTCCTCTGATGAGACCTGTCCAGTATGGTTGAATCTCTGGCATAGCTCTCATCCTCCTTGGAGCATGCAAGCCCCACAACCATGTCAAGGTACTGCCTCATTGGGAGTTGTTGTTATTGTTATTATTGTACTTTCTTAAAACAAATGGAAGTGTATTGGTTAAGTTTAAAGTTACCTTTTTCATACATTTAATCCTGAAAAGTAAAAAGCTTTCAAAGTTATTTTTAGAATATCAGTTACCATGGTAAAAGCAATTTCTCGCACTGTTCTCCCTGCCGGTTGCTTAGATGGCTCATACTATATGCTTCAGTCATACATCCCAATTATGCTTTTTAATAATTTTATCATAATTATTATATGCTTGGGATTTCTGCTGATTTACAAAAAGAAAATTGTGTTTTGTGTCTGCGTATCTAATATACTGTGTTCATCATGTAAACACAGCATTGTAGATTCAAAAACACCTTGAAATCCTTCCATATACGAAAGCTATTTAAAATGAAACTTTAGCTGGTGGGACCTCCAAAATGACCTCAGCTCATTCACAGAGGTACTTAACCCTTGGTATCAACTAGCCTGCCTGTCAAATCATGTTCCCTCCCTGGTGTGATTTTTCTGTATACTACTGCTCTTTTGAATGTACTAATGGCCTCCAACTCAGGCAATATGATACTGAGTCAGGCAGCAATGCTTCTCAATATTCTTGCTGGTTTCACAGTGCTAGGATAAGGCCACAGACTGATTAGATTCAGATGTCTTTGTAGCTAATCTTATGTATTTTTGGCCAATACAATACTTCTGTCGGCAAACATCTTGCTATTCTTATTTATAGGAGCCAAAGTACAAGCAGCGGGATTCTATAACATAAATCATACTTTGGCACATTTGACAAGATTTATCCACTCAGTTAGGTACCTAATAGCATGCAAAATGTAATTGCACACTTAGAGCTATGTTAATTCTCAAGCTCCTTCTCATGGTTGAGCATCCTTATGAATGGGCACAATTATTTTAATATTGTTCAGCAGTGTTGGCTTGTGTGTATGCAAACCAACCACAAATAGTTAGCCACACAGATGCTATTGTCGTGCATTTTGTTTGCATGTTCTATTTTACAAATGGCCATACGGTAGCTGTTTGTTGTTGTGTAGAGCTACATTTATGGATTTATTTAATCTAACTATATGCTACTAATACTCTTGTGTTTGTAACCTTCAACTGGGTGAAACGGTGTGTCATAAGGCAACAATTTTCGAACCAACGTACCTCAAATGGGCTAACTTACAGAATGTGTCTAAAATCCGGGACCCATTACTTCCGTGGGGTTGAAATTTGGGAAATTTGTGGCCACTTCAACATTGCTGTGCTGCTGTGCCACCGTGGTCAGCCCAGGTCACATGAACATCATGGGTATATCCCCAACCTCTTTCCTGCCACCCTCTGTCCCCTGTGCCCAATCAGCTGGTGGCAATGCCTGACGGGTGAGCTGTGATTGGCTGCTTTGCAAACAAGGCAAAAATTTGAAATCTCTTAACAGAAGTGGTTGCTGAAGGAAAGATGAGAGAGTGACTCAGAAGCCTGCTGGCAAGGTAGGGCTGATTGGGGGGGTGCCAGCAGTCAACAGGTGATCCCTCTTCCTCCTTCAAGGGAAGGGGCCCTTGGGGACATGCCAGAATGGGGAGCAGGGGTGCAGTTTTCCTCACAGTCCGCAGCTCCCTTTGTTCCACCTGCCCCCAGCAAAGTGGCAGGCAATTCTGTGGGTCAGCCGAGGAGGAGGAGGAGGCGGATTCACTGGGGCTCTCCTGAGGGTTGTGAGGGGAGGCCAAATGGTGCAAGCTTATATCATATGTGGGGAGGGAGGGGAGGGAAGATTTCGGACACACTCTGCCAGCTTTGCACAAGCAAAGCCACAGGGAAGCCAGCAGCAATTCATAAGTCACTCACACTCCCACTGCTTTTTTGCCCTTGGTCATTCTGTTTCTGTGTTTAGGTAAGGAAATAACTCTGAAAGATGACCCAACGGGTCACAGGTTGTCTAGTTGACTCTATAGGGTGAGTATATTTCCAACAATGCAATGCATTTCTTGAGTTGCATTCAGCCAAGCTCTTCTAAATACAGCCATGTAAAGTCTCAACAACAATTATATGGCAACTTATTGTTGGCTAAAGCAGGGGGTTTCAAACTTTTTCAGGCTGCAAAACATGTTATTTAAACTAAAATGTTTCCTGGAACCTCTGATCAAGAGCAAAGCTCTAGTGACAGAAAATTGGCTGTGTTTGAGTGATTTTTTTTTCCTTTTCTTCCTTAGTCTCTCATAGAAGCCCACCAAGTTCTCAAGGGACCCTGGGGTCCTATGGACCAAAATTTGAAAAACCCTCAGCTAGAGCAGGGTTCCTCAACCTCAGCAACTTTAAGATGGGTGGACTTCCCCATGGCTGGCTGGGGAATTCTGGGAGTTGAAGTCCACCCATCTTAAAGTTGCTGAGGTTGAGGAACCCTGAGCTAGAGCATGGAAACAACCATAAGTTCTCTGGTAGCACAAAATATAGGAGTGTGAGTTTGGTATCCATTTATGCTATATAGGAATAGAACCATACATAGAAGGTGCTTTGTTTTATTTTGTTTGG